ACGTGCTTGTGCTGGTATATTGGTGCCAACAGGCAAAATATTATTTTGAATATATTCTGCCGTTTTGGTACAAAACAAAGGAGTAGCCATTGCGTTACTGAAGAAATTCAGAGAGAGAATGCGCAAAAACAAATTTCTCTTCGATACATGTACAAAATTATCATTGCACTAATTTGCAGGTATTAGGCGGGGGTAGTAATGGAAAACAAATGACTCATACCATAACAATGTCGCACCATCCTTTGTATACTGCACCGCCGCCGTGTACCTGAGTTCGATGATTCATTTCTTATTATCGATAATGGTGTTTGCGCCCGCGCAACATGCTCACCGCCTTAGCCGAGCTGAGGCCGGGCTATGATTTATGACCACCAATTATAACCAGAAATTCTCGCGAAAGAACATCGATTCCTGCCAAGGATGATACGTGAGGCTATTGAAATTAAAAAACATCCTAATTTCAATAGAGAGTGAGGCTCGGTACTACCACCTGCTTGGGATCCTGTAATTCATAAAATTAAAACTAAACCCAAGCATACCACTGCAAGAATTTAAAGACACAGTTAATTTATTCTGCGTAGATCGGACCAAAATTATAAATTAAAAAGCTGAAGGTACTCCAATTTAACACTGACATCGGGACGTCAATCACCTCAGTCCTCCGTGACCACGGTTGCTGGAAAGCAACCGAAACGTCGGGAATATAAAATAACTTAATTAAACGCGATAAAATCCGTAAAAATAGTTTTATTTAATATTATGTTCTTAATTACTATTGTTTTTTGATTGTAGGATGCGCTATTGAAGATCAAGTCTGTATTAGTGGATGAAAAGAAACAAATTCGTTTTGGAGATTGGAGCGCTGCAGAGGTAAGTACTGTGATTATTATAAAACTATTTGGTTATTTTTTAGTAGTTTTAGTTTATTTGTATTTACCTTAAATTGATCTTTGAGAGCTCAGCGAATTTCACAGTAAGCAAGCAACATGAATACTGGCACCGCTGAAATTATTAATTATAAAAAGGTGGTGATTTGATCGACGTTATACGACTAAGTTATGATGAAACTCGCGTTCTTAGAAATAATGGCTTTGAATTTTAAAAAAAAACTTCTTTTCTTCAATTATGTCTCTTCTTTATTCTTTATCCTTTCTTTTGTATTTTTTTTAGTTTTATAATAATAATGGTAAGTCTTGGTGAAACATTAAAATATATTTTCCAGATAGAAGTACTCAACAAGTATCTATTCCTGACGTCCAAACCAGCACTGTATCTTGTCAACCTTTCCGAAAAGGATTACATCCGAAAAAAGAATAAATGGTTTGTTTAAGTACTTTATAATGATAATTATTTGAAATAAGATTTTTTTTAGTAACCAGTTAAATTATTTTTATCATTTTGTAAGGTTACCAAAACTAAAGGAATGGATTGACAAGAATGATCCAGGAGCACCACTTATACCGTTTTCTGGTGTTTTAGAAAGTAAACTGATGGACATGGACCCAGTAGAGAAACAAGCCTATTTAAAAGAACATAATATCACGAGGTAAGTTGCTGTAAGTTTTTAAAGAGTAATGTATTTTTATTATTCCGTATTTTTTTCAAATTTCAATAATAATAAGCTATATTGAATCTTAATGCTTTTTATCGATATTTTTTCGTATTTACCCGTTTGCGTTGGAGCCCAAAAGGATGGTAATATTTTTAGCTGGTATATCCGTTTTTATGTCGCCCTTTTTCGCCCGATTCGTTATAATTGTGCTCGCAGACGTCTGTTTCTAATGTCAACATAAAATAAATATGGCTGGTAAGAACTGTCAAAAACATGCCTACAAAAATTAAATAGTATGATGATCGCCATATTCTTTGAATAATATTATTTTGTATTTCATTTCACTCACGGTGTTCCTTAGTCGTAATCTATCATGCATATAAACAAAATTGAAGTGTTTGTCTATAATATCACAATAAACCTTTATCAAGCTCAGCGGGTTATTTGCATGTCATTAAGACATGAATAGCTTATTTATTTATTTGTAATTTTTATCCGAAGAATTTGGAATATTTTTTTGTGAAATCGAAAAATTGATTAAATAACTGGTAATTGATGACTACTTTTAAAAATTTTAATGACGCCACTTTTACAGATTCCACCCAGGCGAAGCCAGGGCGGGTCGCTAGTATAAAATATGTTAATATAATTAGCGACGTGTAGTCTGTGATTTATACCTTTTCCGGGAAACGGATACTGTTCCGTTTAGTGGTACTACATCACACATAAAAAGTTGTGAAAAAAGTTTAAATATATAACCGGTACTTCTTATAACCGTGCAGTGGCGGTGTAAGAATATCCACTACCTCATATCGTCCCGTGGGTATTGTAAGGCGAAAGTGGGAAACAAACCAGGCAGCGTCTTTGATAGCCATTAGAGTAAAAACTGCGGTTGCCAACCCGCCAGCCAAGCGTGACTACTATGGCAAATATATCATTATGAGGTAATTCAAAGGCCTATGTTCAGCAGTGGATTTTGATTGACTGTAATGAATGAATGATAGTTAAATTTAATAATATCGTGATTTCTTATAATATAATGCTAATTTTACGGAATTTGTCGCAGTCTCATCACAGATTTGTTTTTTACTTGCAACATAGCAACTGAAAAGAAAATTCAACATGTTGGTAATAAGATAAATCAAAAGTGATAAACTTAGCATTATTTACGTGACTTCAATTACAATGTAAACTATTATAATTTCAGTGCATTAGACAAAATAATTGTTCAAGGCTACAAGGCTCTGCAGTTGGAATACTTCTTCACTGCTGGTCCTGACGAAGTCAAAGCTTGGACGATACAGGTATTTGCTAATTTTACGTAATTTGTAATAATTTTATGTACATTTTTTATGTAATTTTATGACAGTAAATATTTATAAGGTACCGAAATTTTAGTTAGGTATCATCAGGTCTACGGATGACCATAGATCCGCCCGTAACAACAAAAGCTGGCACAACCACGGTCTTGAAATCTTGAGCTACCTGACTCCCGTTGCAATTGCCACACTTATTGGGTATTAGTCATTGCATTTAAGGGGGATTTACTCTTTAAATGTTCATTTTCGTGTGATCGCCGTGACACTCCACCTTTTTAAAAGTATTTTATTAATTAATTCGACTAAGTAGGTATTACCATACTGTCTACCACCCTACTACCTGTGCCTGCCGCCTGATAGCAGTGCTCTCACTACTGTCTTCCCGCCTAAAGGGTATAAAGAGCCAGTATAATAACAGGCTGTAAGACATTCTATCTTTGTCCTCTGAGATGATAAGTGACAACACATCTGAAGCCTTTGTATGAAGTTGGCTGCATGTGTCCAAGAATAATTTCATTAGCAGGCCCAAAACCGCCAGCAACTCCTGTTTGTCATGACATCTATGAATGCAGCTTTTAATGACGCCTTGATCAAATTCATCGGTTTCTGTCACTCTGTTATATTATTTTCGTTTTATCACCAGTTGTCGTAAAAAGAGTTATAAAATCATTATTTTGCGCTTCTTTTTTATTTAATGAACATTGCGCATGAACATTAGCCGTTCGTTTTATGTATATATTTTTTTATCTAATTAATGGTTATTTGTATTTTATGCGCTGCCATATCATTCATGAGATTGCACTAAAATTTTGTCACTTATTGCTTGCAATTGCGCGAACGTTATAGACATAGTACAATTAACTTACAGTAGCAGGCGCGCTTATCGAACCAACAAATTTATTTGTACGTCATATTATATCATTTCATTTCAATGAATTTATTATCATTATTTATTAAATAATATAACCCTTCCAAATTCTAAAAGATATTTAAACAATCATTTATTCTGCAGCAGCATTGCGTATTTAGTTTGTGTCTGATGTCTGTTAGTGATGGTGTAACCGACCGATTGTATTTGTTTGTTCTTATCACACACACATTACACGCGCATTACATAATATATACTTAACAATATATAATGCAGCGTGAGCAATACTGAAAGCGATTATAAATTACTTCACCGCAAGCGTAATACCCTCTCTCGAATCCCGCGCGTCCTGCTTAACGATATAAACGTACTTTAGAGACGCATTTAAATTTTGCACGTATTTCAAATTTCTAAGGCAAACTATGGTAAACAAAAGCTAAGTGTTCCCCTAAATTTCGTAGTTCGTGAGAAGCCCGACTTCTTTCTTACCAATAAAATTGAATTGATAAATTGCAATTTCAGGACTAATTTACCACGTGCCTGGTGTATAAATACACCTTAGGGTCGATTTACACTTCGACAAGTACTGTAGCGAGTTAACTTGCGAACCTGGCGAGTTAAGCAAAAAATCTTGTTTGAACGGCAATCGATGAGTTAAGTAGCAAATTAACAATTAAGTTGAACGCAAGTTCGAAGTTTAGCCCTCCAGCGTGTCTCCCGCCACCCGCAAGTAAACTCGCTGCTCGTGTGAACGAGCGAGTTTAGGTCGGTGCATAAGTTGACAGTACGCAACGTGTTCGCGTTCGAACCTCAAAATATAAAATTGTATTTTTTTTAAATTAAACTCGCCATGAAGAAATTTGAACGTTTCTGCCCACTTAACCGTTTACTGTCAACTGTCTTGTAACTGAACTCGCTACTGTATTTGTCGAAGTGAAAATCGGCCTTTAAGAAAACCGGCTATGTTATATTTCAAGCAAGCGCGGCGCGGCGCATTGACTGCTCCATATATGAAATTATTATAAAGCTTTCGGCTTTGTAGATAACAGTGAAATCACTGCCATTCATATTTTTATATGAATATTTTCAATTATAAAAAAACATTTACAAATAATATTATATATATTTTTTTATTAAAAAATGCCTACATTAATGACATATTGCAAAATTGTATGTAGGGAGGTATATTTTAATTATAATTATGCTTTACATTTCAGAAAGGCACAAAAGCGCCTCAAGCCGCTGGTAGAATTCACACGGACTTTGAGAAGGGTTTTATTATGGCTGAAGTGATGCATTTTAAAGATTTCAAGGAAGAAGGTACCGAGGCTGCGTGTAAAGCCGCCGGCAAATACAGGCAACAAGGTACGTATTAAATATTTCTTCATGAGAATGGTTAAAAATGTGAAGTAGTTATAATCTAAAATAAAGTGAAAACAAAGGTGACGGGGATTACTGGGCCGAATTTGTAATAAGTTTAAATATGTTTAAAAAAAAGCTTTATATTTTTCTATTTCAAAATATAAAAAATTAGCCCAATTCACAATCTGGAAGACGAGAAATTTTAAAAATCAGTTTATGTCGCGAATAAAATAGGAAATCGATTAATTTGAATGAGTTTTAACAATTAAACATATAAACAATTTATCAAAATGAAATCAAAGTAATTATATACATTACAATTAACATGTCAACAGTTTAAAAAATAAAATATCAACATAATAAAAATAAATCTCAAAATCGATTCTCGTTTACAGTTCAATTGTGTTTGTCAACTATATTTTTAATCTGTGCTGACAGTGACAGCTCCTGCCTTTGTTTATTACTTTTGCGTTTTGAGTGTCTTTCCCATTGTATTATTGATTTATATTCCTCAACCACTACTTTCTTTCTACGGACTTCTGATCTTACTTAACTTGTACGACCCTTGCTCATCATCATACCGGACACCGATAATCTCGTTTACTCGTTTGAATTTGGCTCGTTATAGTGGATTTTACGGCTTCGATTTTATCGATTGGATACAATGGATGGCTGTGTGAATTGTGGCATAGCGACTAGTCGTTGTAATACACTAGGCCGACGATCCTTCCAACATAGCAATCGCACTTCAAAAATCAGCTGTTTAGGTTAGGTTGTTGCCAAAGTGTTGCATAACTTCACTTTTACTAAATCCCTTATAACTCTGCTCTCAGATTGCCAAAGTCCTCAGAAGTTTCAGGGATGTTTTGATAATATATACATACATACATACATACATAATCACACCTCTTTCCCGTAGGGGTAGGCAGAGACCACTTCTTTCCACTTGCTACGATCCTTACATACTTGTTTTGCTTCGTCCACTTTCATTTATTCCCTTCATACATGCTCTACAGTTTAGGGTACTCTTGACCTGGCCTTTCTTCAAGACGTCCCTGATTTGGTCTAGAAATGTCCGCCTAGGTCTACCCCTTCCAACACTTTCATTCACACTCGCCTTATACACTGTTTTCTTCAATCGTTCTTCATTCATTCTCTCGACATGGCCAAACCATCTCAGCATACCTTTCTCAATTTTTGTCACTACATCTTCTTTCAGACCACAACGTTTCCTTATCTCACTATTTCTTATCCTGTCACTCAGTTTAACTCCTATCATACTTCTTAATGCTCTCAACTGCGTTTATTCTGCTTTCATGTTTCTTCTGCCATACCCAATTTTCACTTCCGTACATGAGTGTCGGAACCAACACCCCCTCATGCATGATAATATATAAGCTATTAATTGACACCATTTTCATCTTTTTACAATCTGGGCCCAAGAATGTATGAAAGCGTATCAGTCTCTTTCAAGACGTAAAAATAATATAATAAAAATCGTGATATCAAGTTAAAGACACACTTGGTCAATAGAACTCTTATTTTTTATTTTATAGATTAAGGGTGATTACATACATGGTGACACAGTCCGCCTGGTGGTAAGTGGATGCTGTGGCCCATAGACATACATACTACATCTATCTTCAAAGTGCAGATGCGTTGTCACCCTTGAGGACTAAGATGGAATGCCTCGTATCCAGTAAAAAGGTTCTCTACACTCACTATACGAAACTGCAGTATTAAGTTGCTATTTTACGCTGGTATTCTGTAAGTATTCTGAGGTATTCTCTTTTTGAAAGGTTTTCACTACGAGTTACATTAAATTTTCGAATATATTAAAGTTTGATTATTTCGATATTTCAGGACGAAATTACGTCGTGGAAGATGGTGATATAATATTTTTCAAGTTCAACGCTGGCGCTGGACTAAAGGACGCTAAGAAGAAATGACGCAATAAAGTGCTTCTGCTTCTCGTACATATGTTGTTCCTTAACCTTGTACTTTATACTCTTATGCACGTGGCCGACGACTAGGAACTCTATTATTTATAAAAACGTTCATAAAATAAACAACATAATAACGAGTGATAAACAGCTTTGTTGATGTTAATATTATTTAATAAGTAATAATAAATCCTTTTTTTGTAAATTTATTAAAGTGAATCTGCGTTTTATTGAAGTTTATTTTCTGCTTATATTATCTCTACCAACTCTTCCGTGCGGATAATTTTATTTCCTTTGTCCTCGGAGTCTTTAATATTCTCGTCGTATTCTTCTTCAAATACTCTTTCTAAAATGATTCGCAATTGCTTCAAAAATCTTTTCATATTAATGTGAGATAATATCCCTTGTTCCATCACGGGCGCTAATTTTTCCTTGTCTTTATCTGACTTATTCAAAAATTTGTTCGATACGTAGGCAGATGATTGGGTCACTACTTCTTCCCATTCCTGGAACAAGTTTTTATTAGAAGATGAGACGGTTTGTCGACGGTTTTTCCACACTGATGATTTTCGTTAGTGTGTTAACTATAAATCAACGTGAATCATTAACGTGTATATCTAACGTTACGATGCGAATGATCAACGCCTCTCGAATGCCTTATAACGTAAACATTTTGAAAAAATTCGATGACAATTGTGTACAGAAATACATATGTGGGAACATTTCTTGTTAAATTTAAATGCTTAGCTTAAAAGTGAGCCTTTTTCTTGATTGATGTACTTTCAGTTATCTGATACACACCTGTGTTACGGAAAAAAATCTGCATTTCAAATTTCAATCCACATGCACGTGGTTTGAGTTCTCAAGTCGCATGTTTCAACGTTTCGTATTGGGTTAAAATTTTAAACAAGTGAAGTAGCAGACTTTCGTTTGAAAAAACATGCTCGCGTAGCTGACAAAATTAACTAGTCAATTGGTGACTTCAAGAGTCGACAGACGATAATGTTCATTCAACTAGTCCGTTGATTCAATGCCCATCCCTATTAGGAAATCCTTGATAATTAACAAGCCCATACTGTCGAAATTTAGGGTGAAATGTATCGTCATACAACGTCTGTAGGCTTAAGAGTGAAATCACACGGTGTATTAGGCAGGGCACATGCTTTTACCGCATTGCCACGATCAGTGCGGTGTGGCCAACGTAGCTTCGTTTGATCGCCGGAACATCGGTAGGACTAGGACTCGATGTTTAAACGCGCTGTAGGTAAAATAACGCTAGATCTCTTGGTTGCGGTCCGCCCCGGCGGCATAAGCCTAGAATTACTTATTTGAGTGATAATTGTTATTGGTAAAGATACATGTTAGCTATTTAACTAACCTATTTAATAACTTCAGACAAACAAAGACAGACACACGCATTATGCATCTAAGATCTTGTGCAACCAACAACATGGTTTTTCAACGTTTAGAACCATATGTGTGCGTACAGCAGTGGGCTTAAAGAATAGACAATTGTGTGCTTGAGTGCGTATCAGGTTGGAGTGTTGAGTGTGTATGGCGGTGAAAGAATATTCACCAATCCATACCGTCCCATATGGGTGCCGTAAAAGGCGACAGAGGGAAACTGAAACAACTGAAAATAATAAAAACTTTCGGTTGCCAACCCACATGCCAGCCGTAGCAGCTATGGCATAATCCCCATATGGAGAAGACCTATGTTCAGCAGTACTTTTTAGGCTGTAATGGAAATTAGGAGTACCCTTAAGTATATACAATGAATAGTAAGCGAGAGAGGTGTGTTAGGATCGTGCCAAATGGAAGTCCGTAGTCAATGCCTACGGACCTATCTATGTGTGTAGAAAGTAACTACAGCCCTCCACGCCGGATCCCCACATAGAAACGCCGCCATGACTGCTGACAAGGAGAGGTAGGTCTTGACCAATCTGGCTCAATAGGATCGTCCACACCGTTCCCACGCTGAATATACCACGAGCGTACGGGACATTGGAGTCTTAGCCCTATCCACCGCTGTGAAAGCAGTTCCCCGTCGCTTCGCATCTAACGCAGATTATTCACAGAAGCACTGGTGGCTCATAATTATCTGTGTAAGACTAGGTACTTTACTAGGGCTGGAGTTTTGCCGGGAACTTGACCGGCGACGGATTGCTGCTCCTGTATTATTGTTTAAATAATGGTTAGAAGTGGATTATGATATGTAAAAGTGGTGCGGTTTTGTATATGTGTATTATGTCTGCGCATATGAACTATTAGTGGAAATGGTGAAACAAGTACTCTGATGGTGATGTGATTCTCAAGATAAGGTGTCTGTCTGCTTAGGCGCGTTGAGATGCCATCGCCAACTGTCATCTGTCTGCTGGCTCAAGTTGCCGTTAAAATCTCCCAACGGCTGCACAATATGACGCATAAAATATTGTCAATCAGTGTACTATGAAGGATAATTATACATTGTAACTTCAGGCTCAGAAGGGCTAGAACCCAGAGCCGTAAATCCAGTTATTAAAAAAATTCTAGGGCTTTAAAGTGAGAAAGTGCAGGATTGCTTCAACGATTAGTTTTCGCGCATAACGCGTTAAAGCTCTTGTTGTTTTTCCCTTCTTTCTTGTAAAAGATATACTAAGGAACAACTTTGAGGTCTTAGTTCAGATCCAGATGTCTCATTTCAGTGAATAAGCATACATCATATAGGCCACTTGTATTATATTTACTTTTTATGCATTATTTTTTTTTTGTAAACACTGGGTATTTAAAAGGAGTACTAGGAGTAACATATATTTTACGCTTATTTAGTTACTACTTACTACTTACCTTGCAATACATAACGCAGTGTTGGTACCGACTTTGTTATATGGCAGCGAAACCTGGGTATGCCAGAAGAAGCATAAAAGTAAGTTGAATGCAGTGGAGATGCGATCTCTTCGTAAAATGTGCGGCGTTACCATGGCCGACCGAAAGCGAAACGAAGAGATTCGCAATATGGCAGGTTTGAAAGATGACCTTATCACAAAAATTGATAAGGGCGTGCTTCGGTGGTTTGGGCACGTTGAGCGAATGAGTGAAGACCGAATGGTGAAGAAAATATATAGCGCGAAAGTTAATATTAAAAGGTGTCGAGGTAGACCGAGACTAACTTTCGAAGACCATGTGAGCAAATTGCTCGAAGAGGGTAGGGTCAAAAGTACTCGGATACCTAGACGTGCATGCATGAAGAAGATAATGAATCTGAAAGAAGCGAAAGAGGTTTGTAAGGATCGTGACACTTGGCGATCTGTTCTCTCTGGCTACCCCGTCAGGGATTGTGCGTGAAGATAAGTAAGTAAGTAAGTAAGTACTTACTAAGTATTGTTCAAGAAATCGGCCTACCATTAGAAATGCAGTGAGAAATACTTTATTTAGCATAGTGTTGCTGCCATATTCGTCTTTTTTTTATGAGAGAGCGGCTCACCTGATGGTAAGTGACTACCGCCGCCTATGCACAACTGCAACACCAGGGGAATTGCAGATTCGTTGCCGGCCTTTTAAAAAGGAGTAGGCTCTTTTCTTGAAGGTCCCCAAGTCGTATCGGTCCGGAATAATCGCTGGTCGTAATCGATTCCACAAGGAAGTTGTGCGAGAAAGAAAACTTCTTCTAAATCCCACAGTGGTGGACAGATGGCATGGATGGTATCGCAAAATGTATGTATCGTTCGTGAATACGGGCCTTACTTTTGTAGATTACAATTTAGGATCTTATTATTAGAGCCTGCACAATTTGCTAGCTTAAAGTTAGTAAAATATTTAAATTTTTACTACTTACCTGACAATAAGTGTGAAGTGAATCTAATGATAACATTTCTTCAATAAGACTCACTTTTAACGTATCTGTGGAAATATTCCTTAAAATACATACAATAAGGTGGCCAATTGAAGCTAGTGTACTGCCTGCCCTAAAATATTAAGCATGATAATGTAATCACTACAACACTGTAACATTTTGCTATTTATCTAAATCTAAAATTAAAAAAGCTATTACATACTTTTTCCTTATAAAAATAAGTAAAACATTACGCCTATTAGGGTGTTACCACATCAATCGATCGATCGATAGTTTCTACTACACCGATAGATCGATGGTAGAATTGAGTAGTCGACGTTGATCGAGCTGCTTGATTATTCGAAAACCCGTCCCGCTCCACCCACCGCACTTTGAAAGGTACTGTGATGATGAGCCGACAACTACATCGATTAATTTTCGATCGATGAGTGTTTTATCGAACAGTATCCTTCGATCAGCTAAAGCAACCACACTAGTCAATCAATCGATTGGTGTGGTAGCTAACACCCTTACAAATATATAATGTGTATAAAAATAAAAAGTAATTTATAAAAGTCGATCGTTAGATTATTTGTCACACCAATATACTTGTTTTTACGATATTCGCCGCTAGTCACGAAACACTCTTAAGTACTAGTTGTAGCTTGTAGCTATAATAAGAATGACTTAATATTCTTCTTTCCCATCCACATCTGAACACTTATTGTTAAGTGTTCAGATATAAAATTCAGATATAAGTAAAAGTTTTCTTGTTACTCTACAATGACATTTCTCTTTATCATCGCGCGGAAAATTATTAGCGCTATGCATCCAGTAAGGAGGTAATCACAATGAGTATCCAGTTGTAGGTCTATGACCACGTATAAACTTTTAGGAAAATATAATAAATCATTTACTTTTAAAAGAAAACAATATATAATAGTAGTACACGAGTGTGCGCAAACTCAGGTGAACTCTCTATTCCCTCAAATTCTGATGGGACGGAAATCCGACACGATCGGAGAGAAATCAGGCGCAGGACCAACGCCTTTACGTGTTTCCCTAGGTACTTGGGTGAAACACCGCCAACTTCCTGACCGAGGGTTGTTATTGAAAGTTTTTGACGGAAAAACCCAATAACTGGTTTTGGCCCGATTGGTATTTGAGCCCATCTATACATGCTACATGATCAGCAGTCGCACTTAAAACCACTGGATTAACAAGGCAGTTATAAATTATTATAATGGTTAAGCTGGAATGACGTCTTAATGTCTTAGAGCTAGTTAAAGGTGCGTTTGGGCTGCTTACCATCAGGTACGCTGCGCTTTTCATTCTAATGTGATACATAAGAAAACTTTACACGTGGTGAATCATGCTGCAGCTATATTAGTGGTAAATTTGTAGC